CTCCTCCGCCGCTACTCTAATGGTGTTTTCATGTCTGTTGTATTGTTTAATAATTTTTAAGCTTTTTTTCTTATATACAAATATCAATGCTGCGTATTCCGTATTACGTTTTCCGTATTTCTATAGCTTTCGTGCTTGTTTCCGTGAAATGTTTATTCTTTATGATCACACGGTTGCAAATATTTACCAATACATATTTTTATATATAATATGTACATGTAAATGTGCACTTAGTGCTTAATCACCTCTTGCAAGATATTATTAGTTGCGGTAGCTTGTATAATATGTACGGTTATATATGCTTACATATATGTGTATATAATTTTTATAATCACTCACTTGTCTCTGTTATGAATATTATTCATAAATATAATAAAAACAAACAATTAAGAGAATTAAAATTCAACCGTCACGTTGAATATTGGAGATCCTATAACTCACTTACTGTCGACTAGTTGTAGGTCGTTCTTGTATGAAATGGGAGTGACTCCTGCTTACAATCTATAAGAACGAGGCAATAATGGGTTTGCACTGAGAATGATTTCAGTGATTCGATCAAATGGTGTCACTTGAAAACGCCGACGTTTACATTATATTTACTCTTAAGTAAATAATTTTGAACACTTTGTTGCTTACATAAAGCCATACGGCTACGTATACATTACAGTTTACCAGCAAAGACATAAAAAAACACAATTCAAATCAGCGAATCATTAACAATAGTGAGTGAGTCCTATATATATATATGTGGATATATGTGTGGATTTCAAGATAATTTCATTGAAATTACGATTTTTTCTTTTTGAGTTACGAGTTAACTTTCACGGACTGGGAGATCTTCTACTAACGCAATCCTATAGGTGTTGCAAACGACATAGCAAACTTAATATGTCGCCACTCATCTTTAAGAAATGGTTTAAACAATTATTTAAAGCATGTCTTTAGCTTCTTTTTTTTTTTTTTTTTTGTTTATACATATAAGTTCTTTCCATGCAAAGTGTCATTAACACTAAAAGTTATTGTTGGCAAATAGTTAGTTATTCACAAAAAAATGAGATAAATATATTGTTATAATTTTTTTATTTTTATTTTTTTTTTTTTTGTTTTTTCTCTTACACGAGCAGAAGTACATATGCATTCGTATACATTGGCTGAAAAGTGTCGGGACTAGCATTCAAAAAATATATATCATATTCATAGTGCACTGCAGTATTCCCGAAGTTTGCTACCATATAACTTGATTTGTCCAAATGCCCATCTGTCCGTGAGAGATCTGAAAAATAAAAAAAAAAAGAAACAATAATCGTTAATAATAAAAAGCCTCTAAACTACAATTAGCAAATATAATTAATTAATAGATTGGTGTCTTAAGTTCGCTGAGGTCTGTTATTCTTTCACATTGTTGTAGCTTTCGCGCAAGGATGAAGAAGCCAGAAAAACTGGATAGGTTTTAATATCGAGAAAAATGTGCCAGTCGGGTGTGTGCGAGTCGATTAAGATCTTTTCATTTATACGAGCGTCGGTTTGTCTATCCATGCTTTTGCTAGTTTGTGAACAAGACGTAAAAGGCCAGTAAATGCCAAAAGTAGATGTTCGCAGATGTTCATCTGAGCTACAAAAATTATCGGATGATTGGATGACGACTAAGACTGAAAGAAAATTCCTGGCAGTTTTCGTATTATCCTCGCAATTTAGATGATGATGCATTTAGTGCTGGATTCATGCCTCCAATCAATATGTACACAGCTAGGGAAGCCATTCTGTGTTCTCTTCTTGGGCTAATTGTGTGTCGGTGGGAGCGACATTACGGATTCATGCGTAACGGATAAATGTTATGCCCTATGTACGCCAAATATATCGTTCGAGATTTTCTCAGCCCACTCAGTAAAGTAGCGAATTTTATGCATGATTGCAAATATTTCCACTAATCTAACCTCTGAAGGATAGGGCATTGGGCGTAAAAGTCATTACTTAAGAAACATGTCAACAACTCTCAGATGACTTGAGTTATCCCGAAACTTTTCATCTAATATCGTTCACATAGAGTAAATAAGTGAGTCAGTCAGTCAGTGACAGAGAAGTATAAGAAAATGTATTTCAATTCTAAAGATAACTAAAAACTGTAATTGTGTGTGTGTGTGTGTGTGTGTGTGTGTGTGTGTATGCTTAAAGTTTTTAGTAAATAAGCAGGAAGAAGAAGAGTGTTTATCGAGACTGGAACGACTATGACTTATGCAGGAAAGATTTTATCAAAGAATTTTCACTTCTAATGTGTATTATATTTGAGCTCTAATGAATATACAAAATTTGTGGTAAATTCGTTTGAGAGTATACAAAAATTTCAAGCTGAGACTGAGACTTAGAAACTTAGAAACTCGTTAAATTGTGCTCTCAACATTATTTTCCTCAAATTTTAATATTAAACAGAAAACTAACCATGAACCGTTAAAATGAACTCAATGCATATTAAATATAATTAAAATTTCATTAAATTTAATTTATTCATTTCAAATTACTCATTACGATCATCTAGTTAACGTACGATGCGAATTTTGTTAGAAATTGATAAATCATTTTGAAAAGTTATTTAGATTTAAATGAACTAACTGCCATTCTGTGCATGATATATGAGAAAGCGCGTATATGGCGACAACACGAAATCAAAATCTATATAATATTGTGTGAGAAGAAAAAGGATTTCTTTTTACAAACTATGCCAAATGAAAAAGTATATCCAAACAAATATATTAAGCATATATATATATATATATATATATATACTTTAAATATATGATCTTTATAATATTGCGTTCTTCCTTAGGTTCAGCAATTAGCCGGCAGCATTTATCAAGAATTCGAACGCATGATTAATCGTTACGATGAGGATGTTGTAAAAAATTTAATGCCTTTACTAGTGAATGTTCTCGAGTGTTTAGATGCCTCGTATCGCATCAATCAAGAACAAGACGTTGAAGTCGAATTATTGCGTGAGGATAACGAACAGTTGGTAACACAATATGAACGTGAGAAAAGTGCTCGCAAATTAGCCGAACAAAAGGTAAAATTTATAATATAATTTTGAAAAATCTCTTTCCTCCTTCAATCTCATTCTCATTCTCATTCTCATCTCTCAATTTATGTTTTAATAGCTTTTAGAATCGGAAGACTTAGCTGAACAAGAAAATAAAGAGTTGGCGAGCCGTTTAGAGTCATTAGAGAGCATAGTAAGGATGTTGGAATTAAAGCATAAAAATAGCTTAGAACATGCCAGCCGCTTAGAAGAAAGAGAATCCGAATTAAAAAAGGTTTGCCTTACTCTACCTATTGTTCATACAGATGGCAATGTTTAAAATTATTATTGAATTATTTGGCTTTTTCAGGAATATAATAAACTACATGAACGTTATACGGAACTATTTAAAAATCATGTTGATTACATGGAAAGAACCAAAATGCTAATGGGCTCCACGCATTCACAAATGAGTTCGGCTTCAGATCGCATGGAATTGAGTAGAGCACGTTTAAATCCCGTAGCCCGGTAAAATTTCTAAAAAAACTTTAGGTATGAATATATTTTAAATATATATTTAAATCTTATTTTAGATCTTCTGGTCCCGTATCGTACGGTTTCGCGTCTTTGGAAAATTCCACAATGCTAGATACAGAAACTATATGCAGCGTAGGCAGCAACTCAGACGATTCGGGACCTCCATCATTGCAAAATGAAATGGAAAATATACAAACGGTAGAGAGAGCAGCCGAAACCGATAGTTTACAACAACACAATCAAGCCACATCACCGCATACAACCGAAACCAGTCCAATTGTGCCAAATACAACATCCAATGGTAAGAATAACGCGAAGAAATTATGTCTTCTTCGCGATTATTATAAACAAATATGAACATATATTAACAAATTACTAAACATTTCTTCCTTTTATTTTTATTTATTTATTTGTTTTTAATTTATTTTCTTCATCCTATTCTTCCGCTGCCTACTACTACCCTAATAACGAAAATCTTTCTGGAATAATTTGCATTTACTTGTTTTTAATTTTCGTATAATTAAAATTCATTCGTTCATTCACTATTAACTTTTTGTATACATATGCGTGTATGTGTATGTCTTACGTTTGGTTGGCATTTCGTATTTCGTCTACCCTTCATAACAAAATATTGCACTTCTTCTTCTTCCACCTTACATCCTCTTCAAAATCCAGTTGGCCGTACTACCACGAAAAAGGAACAGCGTTCTGCTAACAATCTTTATCAAGAGTTGTCCTTTCAAGATAACGAAGAAAGCGAAGAAAATGAAATTGTTACAGGTATGTGGGTAAAAAGTCCTAAATTTGTTAATTGGTTTTGTTTTTTGTTTTTCTTATGTTTCTATGATTAATATGATTACTAAGAGGTGATGGTTCAAAGAAACACATTATCTTTAGCTAAGTACTCTAAAGGAATAACTGTTTTTAAAAGCAAATATCGTTTTCTTATTTTCTCTGTTTTATTTAAAACTCAACAACATATGGTCCGTTGTCCCTATAACATAACTTTGTTTATTAAAACTACGACAACAACGAAATCAACAACTATTACCACTTGTTTAACAACACTCCAATCCACTCCAATATAAATTGTTGCAACCATTACTACAATATATTATTTATATATAAATGTCAAATACAGTGAAATACACATACATATATATAATATATATATATATATATATATATATATACATACCTACATACATATATATATATACAACGCTCTAAATACTTCAGGAAGTTGGGTTCATCCTGGGGAATATGCTTCTTCAGGTAGGTATTATTATGAAACGTATTTTTATGATTTTCTTTACATTTTGTGTAAATATTTAAAATATCAACTTTAAATCAATTATAAAAAAAAAAAAAAAAAAAAATTCTGTAAAATTTCATTAAATAATTGTATTATGTTCGAAAAAAAAAAATAAATAAATAAAAAAAAAAATAATAATAATAATAATAATATCATTGTATGTAATAATATTGTCATTTGTTAGCACATCGTGCGATATTCATTAAAAATTTTTTTTTTTTTAACAAAAATTTTTTCTTAACAAAATATATTTCATTTGATTTGATTTTGTTTCCTTTATACACAACTCTTTTTTCTCAATATACGAAAAACTTTACTTATGCGCGACGTTGTCTTTAATTAAAATTCTTAATCATCATAACAGCTAATGACAATTATTTTGGTAAGTTAAAAAGAAATCAAATAAAATAAAGTAGATAATAAAATTATATTCATTTGTAGTTTCAAATTGCTTGCGGTTTACTCGTTGTTGTTATGCTGCATTCGAAATATTTTTTTTTTTTTGGTTCATTTTGAAAAAGTGGTGATAGTTGGCTATGCAAGGGATCCCTTAAATATTATATCAACATCTTTTTTCTCTCATGATAGTCCCACGTGAAAGCAATGATAGATTTTAGACAGCTAAGGATCAATAAAATATTCAATCAAATCTCTTTCTCTCACGATAGTTGCATGCAAAAGTAACGATACTTTTTACAGAATTCATTCGCAAACTGTGCTGCACGCACACTACTATAACAAAGTTTTGAAGTGAAATAACTTTTTGTGAAGAGCATGAACTTCGTGCAACTGCTCGAATAAAGATGTCCGCAGATAAATTGTTATTTGAGAGCGTAATAATAATAAATGCTACAGGTTCGCTGCGCTACTAGTTTCTATCGTAATCACCAGTGCAGCTTGTATTAATTTTATTGCGGCCCACTCATAATTGCGTGCAAAAATTCTAATAGATGTTCTTAGACAAGTCAAAGGTACTTATAGTGTGTGGGTCATGGATTGAATTCTTATTATTAAGAAAGTGACCTTACAAACAAATATAAAAAACAAAAGCGTGTATTTTCGACTTGATTTTAGTTTACCATTTTCAAATATGTATCAAAAATTTGCAAAAAAAAAAAAGAAATAAAATTACGGCCGTGTACGAGAAAAATATCATAATTAAAAATGTGTTTCGAGAAAAAAAAAAGGAGGGCTTGCAAGATCATTTCTCCAATGTAAAGGATTGTATTGTCACTAATTAATTTCAGCGTAACGAAATTATAGATAACCTCAACAATTGTTTGTGTACTATTTCGAAGCATTTGCGTATATCATATTTTCGCTGCAAGTTTATATAAATTTGTTATGGGATTATGTAAAGCTGGAATAAATATGTCGATTTCTTGAGATTTATCGCACTTTTGTTTTTTGCATATCGTGAATAGATTTGTATTGTGCTTCCTGCGCCTAATCAATGGAAAGCTACAAGTTTTATTTAAGGTCACTTTCTCTCCCCCCCCAACATTAGCCCGTTTATCATCCGACTTTTGTTAACTATCATAAGATTTTCTCGCATATTGCTTTTGTGTCTTAAGAGATTTTCATGAGATAATTATCATTATTAGTATTATGTGTTTATCGACATTACTATAATATTAACATTATGCACAGTGAGCACATTTCAAATGCTAGTCTAAACATCATTCATTCAATAAACTGCTAATAACATTTTTATAAATTCCTCATATATGCATATCTTATTCATCATTATCATTTCAACTGCAGATATGTGGGTGCAGTTACGCCCAATTCAGAATTTATTGCCTGTTGACAAAGAAAAATGTATTAATTAAAAAAAAAACAAAAAAAGATTTTGTTTATATATTTACTAACGATATTGGAAAATTGCGTTAGAATTAATCCAGGAATACATTTCTGTATTCAAAAGCATTTTATATTCAGGCAATTGATATCGGGAAAAAGTAGCAGAATCAATTTATTGGGATAAATATTTTCCCTGATACACTGATGGAATGATCTAAGAGTTGAAAACGTTATTTTTTGAAATTTTGAACTAATGGGCTTTGATACAGTGGCCTGCTTATTTTTACTGCTACAAATTTCATCAGTGCTGATAGAAAAATATATCTCTTGCTATTCTATGATGAGAATTGTTTTCTGATGCACGCTTTAACTTAATTCATTATTTAATATATCGTCTTGTTATGTGCCTTAAGTTACTACGCTCCATATTATATAGTATGATATCGAGTATTGGCAAAAAGCAGACTTTAAATAATGATAGGTCAGTCACTACCTGCATACAAATCTATATTTAATTTCTCATCATTTATAAATTTTTATTAAATGTTCACTTATATATCGCAAACAATTTTTTTTTTCTCTTAAATGTTTCGTGTAAATATTATTTTGAAAATCTTATCTAAGCTCAAATAAAGAATTCGAATTTTTTCAAATGCTCTCTTATGTTTTTCAGGTATGGGCAAAGAAGTGGAGAATCTCATTATGGAAAACAATGAGCTATTGGCCACCAAGTAAGTTGTGCGATGGTTTTTTTTTTTTTTTTTTTTTTTTTTTTTGCAAATCATTTTTTAATTTTCTATATTTTTTGTAAATGTCTTGTAAATAGAAATGCTCTTAATATTGTTAAGGATGATTTGATAGCTAAGGTTGATGAGCTAACGGGAGAAATTGAAATTCTCCGCGAGGAACTGAATGCAATGCAGCAGTCACGTAATAAATTGCGTTCAAAAGTGCAAGAACTGGAAGATGAACTTAAGAAAACCAAAGAACAAGTCAAACAACAAAGTATACATAATTTCGGTTGAAAAAATTTTTCTTGAATTCTTAAATGTTTTTACTGCCCCTCGTTTCTTAGATGACAATGAGCAGGAAGAAAACGATGTACCGTTGGCCCAGCGTAAACGTTTCACTCGGGTCGAAATGGCTATGGTGCTTATGGAACGTAATCAATACAAAGAACGTCTAATGGAATTACAAGAAGCCGTACGTCTTACCGAAATTATTAGAGCATCGCGTACCGTAGAATTGGATAAAAAATCGAAGCAGAGCATATGGAAATATTTCAGTAATTTGTTTTCGTAAGTTAAAATGTGAAAAAAAGAAGTAAATTATACGAAATTTATTATTAATTATTTTTGTTATAATTATATAATAGCCCCTCCAATCGCCCTCAGGAACGTGCAGCTGATGGGCAGGGAGGGGGGCCTATGTTTCGCTACTCAAGTCCAGTACACTCCCACGGATCACCCAGTCGAAATAGCGACAATCGCCTTGCCATAACGGGACGAGATCACACGTCGCCATTTCATCCGGTCAATGCCGGTTTGGCTAATGCTCTACCCAATGCCAAAGATTATTCTGATGAGGGTACCTCAGAGCGGGCTCGTGCTAGACGTCACGAACAATATCGTCAGCTAAGAGCACATGTACAAAAGGAAGATGGACGTATGCATGCTTACGGCTGGAGTTTACCGGCCAGTAAAGCTATTAATGAAAAGGAATCACAAAACCGCCATTCCGGCAGTGTTCCGGTGCCAGTTTATTGTAATCCCCTCGCAGAGGCTTCGCCGCACATGAAAGTGTTCTGTGCGGCTGGTGTTAATTTAAACGGTGGCTTTACCAAAAACGGTCAATCGATCATACCCGCTACCTCACCCTATGCGCCACGTTCTACAGCGAAAATTGCCGAAATAACTAGCCCGACTGCAGAACATTCAGCCGAAGCTTTAGATCGTCAAATAACTAGAGCTAGTCTTGAACATTTGGAACCTGAAACTCAGTTGACCTCTTACGTTTGGATATGTACCAGCACTCACGGAGCCAGCACTGTCACCGTTGTGGATGCCAATCAATCTGCAACTGTTTTAGATGTTTTCCCCGTGTGTTCTTCCCATTTACTATGCATCGCATCGGTGCCAGGTGCAATGGAAAAAGACTATGCTTTACTTGAAAATTCCGAGGTAATAAAAGCAGGTGAAATGCTTGAGAGGCCCGGAGAGGGACAGGAAGATTTTGGCAAAGTCGAATTTGTACGTGTAAAACCGAAATCCGATAAGAACAGTAATACCAAAGAGGATGTACTAGTGGAGATAAATACTGAGACGCCGGTGGAAGAGAAAGCTAAAGAAGCGACTGAAAAATCAAATGAAATCAATGGCTCAGTACCTATGGAACCATTGGGTAATGTAAATGAAATTAAAATACGCCAAGCTTTACCGGGTGCACCGCAACGATTACATATTGCAGCTGAAGCCAAAGCAGCACAAACGCCTACTTCGAATTCAGCTACAGTCGTTAATGCAAATAACAACACTAATAACAACAACAATGTGCTTAGTCAACAATTAACTTTTTCGAAATCTATAAATCCAATATTGGATACAAAAGACCGTCTAGAACCATTGATGAGCTCTGTTGGTCCGACCATGTGGTTGGGTGCTCAGGATGGTTGCTTGTACGTACACAGTTCAGTAGGCCGCTGGCATGAATGCTTGCACAAAGCTCTCTTGCCCGATGCCGTCCTAGCGATAGTTCATGTGGAGTCGCGTGTTGTGGTGGCTCTGGCCAATGCCCAATTAGCCGTGTTCCGCCGCCAAACAGACGGCCAATGGGATCTGAATAGTTATCATCTGGTTACGCTGGGTGATCGTAATCATTCGATACGTTGCCTCTGTGTGGCTGGCGAACGCATATGGGCTGCCCATCGCAACAAGATATTCATTGTCGATCCGATCTCATTGAATATTATACACTCGCTGGACGCTCATCCGCGCAAAGAGAGTCAAGTGCGGCAAATGGCTGCCACAGGTGCCGGCGTATGGGTATCGATACGGTAAGCATTCATTTTCATTTATATTCTATCAACCGTTTCTCCTAAATGTTAATAAATAGATTGGATTCCACCCTACGTTTGTACAATACATACACATTCGAGCATAAACAGGATGTGGACATAGAACCATATGTTTCGAAAATGTTGGGCACTGGAAAATTAGGTTTTTCTTTCGTACGTATTACCGCTTTAATGGTGTCGTGTAATCGTCTGTGGATAGGCACCAGTAATGGTGTTATTATATCTGTACCGCTTTCAGATAACAACAGTAAATCAAGTACGATTTTATAAATGAGAGTAATTGAAATGATTTTTAGATTTGGATTTTTATATATTTTATCGTGCAGTTGATCCGAACAGTCAGCTGCCATTGTGCTGCATGGCCAATGCTCAATTATCCTTTCACGGTCATCGGGATGCAGTCAAGTTCTTTGTTTCCGTACCTTTGAAACAGAACGGTACATCTCAGTTGCAATTTACCAACAAACGGCCCGATATGTTGGTTATGTGTGGCGGTGAAGGTTACATCGATTTTCGCATCAGTAAGTCCCTTCCAATTATTATTTAAATTGTATCTTTTATTTTTTGTTGTTCTTTTCGTTTTTTTTTTTTTTTTTTTTTTTTCTTCTTCATACAAAATAATTATTATATTATTTATATATTTTTCTTTCGTTCCTCTCGTCCGTCCTGTTGTTTGTCTCGAAACTCAGGACATGAAAGATCAATAACCGATGCTAGTGATAATGCTGCGCATTTGATAGTTTGGAAAGTTAATTCGTAAGGACTTCTCTTGTTTATAATTTCATTATTTGTTTTCTCTTTTAATACTTGATTAATAAGATTTGTTGTTAATTTAATTATAAATCTTTGTTTCTTTACTTTTACTAAAGTACTTTCAACTTATAGTCGATAAATTTTGCATTGAAGTTCTCTCATATATTAATGTGCGTCATAATTAACATTACGCGTTTACTTAGAGCGGCCTGCGGCCATATGACAACCTTTCGAGGAATTTCCTTCCTCAAGCCCAGAAAGCTAACGATTTCAGTGACCTGATACAATAAATTGCGAAAATCAAGGTTTATATCATTTACTTTCTGTTATTAATTTTTTATGTATATCCTATAACTATGCTTCACTTTTTATAACACATTTTAATTTGAAATTGGTGTCTGTGTAATCTGTGTCTGCATCTGTTTATTGATTGATTTGCACCAGCTTGAGTTCATTTCGATTGGACTTTCAATCTCGAATCAAGCTTGAATAACTTGCACTACTTCTCCATAATTACGATAATATTCGTTTAAAGAAAACTGTTTAAAAGACAACGCAAAAAATTTGTACATTTTCATATTTATTAAATTCTTTTTCTTATTTTTTTCCGTTTTCCTTGTAAATATAATAATTATTGTAAGCAAAAAAAACTTCTGAAGCGAAAAAAAAAAAGAAAAACTTTTCATCAACTATTCAATATGCGCAGAAGATTCGAGGCTTAACAGGTTGTTCCTCTTTTTATGGTAAAGGTTTGAATTTCTCAAGACATACATTTTTTTTCTATCCTCGTCTTTTCGAAATTATTCTGGGTGTTTGCTTCTCTATTTCTAAGCCTTTTTTTAGCTTCCTACCAAACTCATTTATACGCTGATTAACATAAATAACACACCAAGAGGATAATGGGTACTAAGAAAATATATATATATCTATTTTTTTTTTATGTATTATTCATAGTTGAGATCTCATTAAAAGCGTTCTCCCAAAAGTTTATGAACTTGACTTGGGTGCAAGTTAGCCCAAAGATAGAAATAATATATATGTATATATATATATATATATATATATCCATATACTCATACATACATATATACCCACATATCGCGCGGTATAATTTAGTCTAATTTGTCTTAATTGCATATTCACCTTATATATCAGACAGAAATGTAGTCATGTCCTCCATAACCGTACCTCGTTACATGGTCACCGTGTTATACGAAACTCAGTATTAATTCAACTCACGACATATATATGGAATTCCAGGAGAAAGCAATCAACTGCTTGTACTGTTCGTTCACTTTTACTGGAATTCCCTGACAACTGAAATAGACAATAATCTATAAATGTCAAGGATAAGAATTTCACAAACCAAATAGCTAAGTAAAACTTGTCTTGGGAAAAAATTACTCGCGTCTAGCAATTTTTGTGTATGGAAATCCGTAACGAAAAGTATATTAATTTTTTCCATTGCGAGCAAAAGATAAGTTTAATATAAATCCTTAAGTATCATTTTCAAACTCTTACGCGAGATTTCGCTGTATCCGCTTATCAGAAGGTTGAAAGGTGCTCTGTTCTTGCTAATTGCAGGCTTAGGCGAGTCGCGATTTCGTATAATCGAAGAATTGAAGGTCAAGTTTGGAAAATTATAGTTGATATGTCTTCGTCCTAGTCGATGAACACATCAAAAAAGCCAGAAAGCTGATCGACGAAAATCGTCATGTAAAGCTTGTATCCTTTCCTCACTTTAAACATTCGAATAAAAATTTTGCATATGAAACATGTCGGTACATGACTGCTTCCGGCGGATCCCGGTCTTATCAATTATTTTGTGCTACAAGTTTTTGCGGACCCAAAGAATACATACAGGAATGAGGTTAAAGCGCAGGTTTAGTTATATTATAAGATTGGCATGGAGGGCCTAATGAAAGCCCTCCTGAACAAGTGCATGCTGATAGAAAAGTAATTTCAATTTTAATTTTGTGACAACACTTCGGTCAATTTTGAACAAAGAAAATGTTTATGCATGTGTCGTTCTCAAAACTTTAGAGAGGAAAGCGATACTTGATTTAAATGTCAGCTTAATTCGCCGGAAATAGTTGAAGAGTGAAACTAAGCTCCGAAATGAGACAATGCATTTTTTAGAGTTAAAAAAATTACGCGCTTTATTCAAGAAGACGCGATAACAGAAGGGTTACGTGCGATATAAAAAACGTGCAAAAAAAAAAAAAAAAAAAAACGCCTAGTCTTGACCGTGTATGATTGTCAAAATAATTTGGAATTTTTTCGCTTTTTGAAATTCCGCAGGTTTTGAGGCTTTTTTATTCCTTATTTACTTTAAACTTAATATACGTAACGTGGTGTGTCAAGTAACATTCATTACCTTGTCAGATGATTTCAATTTCAATTCCACTGAAATGTAAAAGATTTTCTGTTAATGACGACGACGACGACGACATATATTTTCCTTATGCATGTCATTCATTGAGGTACATAAGAAATTTAAAATCATTTCATGCTGTGGAAGTTGAATTTAGAATATAAGTTTGTTTGAAGGCGTTGTTTGGAATAATGTCTACCGCACAAGTGTGTCTGTGCGCATATTGTGTATATGTGTGTTTTAACTCAATTTAAATTAACTCTCGTTGTACAAATGATTTAACTGAAATGTAATGAAATTGTATTAAAAATAAAAACTAAAATTTATTTTTTTTTTTGGTTTTTTTTTTTTTTTTTCTGTAAAATTTCATTTTTATTAACATTCAATTAATAACATTATTGATTTATTAAGATCACTTTTGATCATGTCTTACAGATGATAACGATATGGAGAAAAGTATAAATTTGGAACCGAATCAAACCATAGAAAATCGTGGTGAGAAAAGTTATTTAATTGTGTGGAATGTTAGTCAACGTTAAAAAAAAAAAAAAAAGAAAAGAAGTCTATGTGAAAAAATTCATAAAACTCACAAGAATTTTTTTTTTTTTTGCTTATTATTATTTAATGGATGGATGTGTTAAGTTTTATTTATTGTAATTATTTATTTATTTAATATTATTTTTATTTTTTAATTCTTGTTAGATTCTTATGTTTTACTTATTGTTTTTGTGATTAAATATTGAAATGAAATTCAACAAAAGAAAGTTTATATAATTTGTATTAAATTAATAATAATAACAATAATAATAATAATAATGCTATATAAATATAGTATATACATATAATATAGTATATACTCACATATAATATAATTTTATATATTTAAAAAGAAAATATAGCTTTGTGAAATATTTATAAGAACTTATTTATAAAATTTTTAGTTTTAATTATTATAAATTTTGTTTTTATTATTTAAAAACATTTTTCATTCAAGTGCTTTCCTGTTTATAAATACTATACTAAATTGGAAAATTACAGCAATTATAACAACACATTCATTACATATTTCTGTAGGCAAAGTGATATTTGAAAAATCATAAAATTACGAAAAAAAAAAAAAAAAGAAGTAAATAAAATTAAAAACGAAAACCAATTATAAAATACCAAACAAAAGCACTAATTTGATAACATAACATAAAAAATGTAAACGCAAAAAAACGCTCTTCTCTCGGAAAATAATAACAAATTTAATAATAATCCAGCTTTCATTCATAACACTTACGTACTCTTGATAATCATAAAAAAAGTTAATAATTAAAATGTAATGCATTTTTTGTTTTTCTTCTTCTCTTCGCTCTTTTTTTGTTGTCTTTTTGTTTTTATGAAATTATCTTCTAACATGATGACACCAATTGTATATATTTTACATATTTACATCCACCGCCGAGTGATAAGGATAAACTCGTCCTTCGATTTTAAAGCCTTAGAAATTTTGAAAGCCAGTGTAACATTCTGATTCGATTTGCGACAACCCGTGTCTCTCTCGTATATATTTCTGATTGATGATCATATATCAATTTTGAAAAAAAAAAAAAAAATTTGTTACCATTACCCAGTATTCAGGGGATGCTCCTTATTCTTGTGACACGATGAAAGAGACAGACAGAGGAAACATATGTTGTTTAGAATCCAGAACACATACGATCAGATCCGTCTACAAGGAAACTTAACAAGAAGAAATTTAAACCGAAGTACAACCAAAGAATGGTGTAAATAATTTCTATAGCCAACTAAAAATATTGTGCAAAGAAATTTCTGATTACCCAATTAACACGCCTAAAATCAAACAGCTTACAATGTTTACATATTGGCGTCAGATTGGAGGTATCAAAGATTCAATCCTAAGGGGGAATACAACAACTACTTGCATCCATGTCTAAGTGTTAAGACTTTCTTTCAATTCTTTCAATTCTTTCAAATACTAAATGTTTATTAAAAGCATGCAAAGTATTAAAATTGATCCTCATTAATCAACTGACACGCCCAAATTTAACGAAATACTTTGCAATCATTATTTCTTACTTTGCGGTGGTGGATATCAAAGATTCGCCACCAGGCGGATATAGCTTTCCTATGTGTTTTCATTTATCTGTTTTTATATCCTGCATCACCAGTGCTATATACATATATGTACATATATATATATATGTACATTTCTGATTAATAGAAAGCTATAATGTGGAACTAGTTCCGCTATGCAGACTCATTTAGAATCTGGTCTGCAGAATTGCATTCAGAGCCTCCAACTTCGCTTTTACTGAGAACGAAGGCGATTGAACTTGAAAATTTTGTTTTTGTAGAAAATTTCACAGAAATTTTGATGCAGCAGTAGAAACAACCCTCTGAAAAAAACTGCAAAATTTACTCTGCCAATAAGCTAGGATATAGGACCGATGGTAATAATTTTAGTTTGGGTCGAATATTGACCGATTGAGTCGTCGAGATGTGCAGAAGCAGAGAGTATAACGAAATCAATCAACTACCTATCCGTTTAACTAGTGTAGTTTTCTTATTCCTCTCAACGGAGATTTATTATTATAAAGTATCGCCTTCATAAGCGTCGATTGGCGGTGATGCGGGATATGGAATGAATGTGTTTGTTGTGACTATAGCATAAGTATTTGCTTTAATTCTCGTCAATATTTTTTTTTATACTTTCTTCCAGTCAGCGCTAACTTAAGGTATTAATTTAACGAAATCTGTTTATTCATTCGTAAGGTTTTGTTTTCGTTTTCGTTTTCGTTTTTTTATTTTTATTTTTTTTTTTATTCTTTAATTGTAGAGAAAATTTGAAACAAAAAAAAAAAAAAAAAAATACAAAATAAAAATAAAAACAATTTCTAATTAAAAAGAAAAAAAGCATATTTTTCATTTTTTTACATAATAGTTTATTTTATATGGAAGAAAAATTGTCTAAAACAATAATAATAAAAAAAAAAAGCTTTAAAAAGTAAAAGAAAATAGAGAAATTTAGAGACTATCCATAATGCAATTCTCTCCCCTAAATCTTCGCCCAACATGGAGATGTAACAAACCTTTCAAGATACTTGTGGATGGGCTTAAGGGGCGATTGTACTGATTTTCGAAATAAACCGCAGGTTGGTCGGAGGAAAACTTTTAAATCCAATTTGCTCTTTCAGATAAAAGCTGTATAGAGTTTATAAAATGTCTATGAACTAAAAATGTCTAAAGTCATAATGACACAACTACAACAAATCTTTCCCTGAAAGCAAAGGTACCTCTATTTTGCTCCATGTACTCACCACCAAAAGCGGAAATCTTTCGTCGAAACCACTGTTTATACTTATCAACAGAAGTGAGATATCTTGTCTTTTGTTCTCAGCTCATAAGCTCATGCGCATTCGTCTACTAGAACCTTTTTGTGGGAGAAAATCTTATCTACTAACTGTGAGAGGACAATGGAATTTAATGCTGCCTGGCCTGGTAAGTATTTATCATCATCATCAAGGCTATTCTTTGCTAAAGCTGTAAAGTTGCGGAACTTCTTACCACTCCGTACGAACAAAACGTTTAGTTAACCTATTCAAGATGGTCGTTAAAGCCTTCTATAATTTATAACGTATTATCTATAATTTCTAACTACTTGTGTATCTAGGCCTTGATCCAACACTGTACAACGTACTTATTATCTATATCTACAAATCACCGTTACTCATAACTGTGCCACAAAAGGCTTTATAGTCCTATTAATTATATTAGTAATTATTATTAATTAATTAGAAAAAAAACTAAACACCGTCACCAGCTCTTGCTTTAACCTCACTTTACACTTCACTAACTGTTGCTCGCCTTACCAAATTGATATTTGTACGTAAACATTCGCGTTCATGCTCTCAACGAGCTGCCTGACAAACAACAGATTTCCAAATTACATTGATCTTTTTTTACTCATCATCTATGATTATTTTATTTGTATAAAATTTTATTAAATTTTCCGGTTTCTCCGACCATTGTTTAAAGTATTTAGTTTTAGCTTCTAACCAAGCTGTTTGATAAGTTTTTGATAAACACTTGGCCTTTAAATAGTTAAGCTTTTCGACATTTTCTATTGTCAAACCAAACGTTTCCAATAAAATTGGTTTCAATTTGAGAATATCTAAAAATTCTGAAAATAAATGAAATTTCGAAATTTTCAATGAAGCCTCCGGCGAATGTAATTTTTTCGAAATGATGCCCTGACGTTTCCCGTTAACTGAAACTTCGTATGGTCTACAAATACGTATAGAAATACATTTTTATTATTCATTATTTAATATTTTAAATTTATGTTTATCACTTACTTGTCCTTCAATTCTATATCACACCAAGCCAGACCATTTGGAGAAGGTTTTTTATTGGGCACTTGTTTATATAAAAATTCTGATGCAATATATCTTCTAATTTCCGGTTTATGTAAACGATAAATTGAATGATTAAATTTAGAATCCTTTATAAATCTTTGCCAAATGGCTCTTTCAAGGCACTCTAAACTACTATTATTACCATAAAATGTCATAGATTTCAAATAAATAGGTTCTGCGAGCAAGGCAGCGATGAGAGCACCTTGTATTCCCATAAGTTGCCATTTAGCTAATTTGTCACTGCAACTCATTGATAATGTGGGTTCGCCTTTACCTGGCTTCGTGCGCATCGCTCCCACTGACTGCTCCATGCAGTCTTTGTGTTGGGGATCTAGAAGTTTCGCCCCAGTATATACTAAATCTCCTAGAGAATTTTCACTATCGTATTCGTTCGTTGTTTTTAATTTCTTAGCGTTTGGCTCGTGATATTCATGAAGATCATTTGAACTTGTTTTAATGCAAGCATCGCCACAAGGCAGTTGAGTGCTAAGGAAATGATACGTTACACCGGTTTTTAAATATAGCTTTCTCCTCTTTTCGCACCAAGTAAATATTGATTGTTTTTCTTTCGGTGCGTTTATGGCTTTTTTAATTTCTTTATAAAAATAACGCAAAAGAGATCTTCTGGCCAATACCTCAGCATGGGAATCATTTAGTATTAAACCTCTTTCGCAAAGTTTACTTTTGCCTATGCATTTGGTACCACAACCCAATGAAACCACTTTGCATGTACCTCCTTTCTCGTCGGATTCTACTACAGCTGCTAATACCGTCCATTCTGTATCAGTGGGTTTACCGGTTTTAGGTAAACTCTTAAATTTCGCAAAACACATTGAGGCCATCTTTTCAATTGAAGGGAAAATTGTTTCATTTACAAAATAGTCCATAGAAATTAAAAAAGTCGCTTGAAAGAAACCAAAGATAAACAGTGCATTACAAATATAGTAATGCTTCTGCTTCTTATTTGGAAACAGCCATTGCAAATTGTCTGCAGACAATTAGAAGAAAAGTTAATTTTATCAAAAAAAAAAAAATGTTTACCTCGATCTTGAGGAAATTTAGAAATCTAGTTTAGAAGATCTGCTATCGTAGTAGAATATTAAAAAAGCTTAAATTCTGCGTAGATTTACCATTCTGGACAGTAGACTGCAGACAAATTCTTATGGATCACATTTCTGCTGTGAAAAATCGTAATACTCCATCAAATAGTGTAACCACCAAATAAGTTTAGAAAAAAAAAAAAAAAAAAAAAAAAGCAAAAAAAAAAAAAAAAAAGAAAAAAAAGGGAAAATGGACAAATAAAATGAAAAACGGCTTCCAACGTATCGCAGAAACAGTAAGAAATTTTTATTTATTGCTTTAAAAAATTGTAAAATTAATATCCACTGCCGAGCATAACACAGCAGGGGAATATCAATTTTCCGTCATTCATAGTAAACCTTGGAATAATCATGTCAGCAGACGACAAAGAAGTAAGCGGTAATCGCCAAGAGAATCTAATAATTTTGCCAAATTTGCCGGCGACTATCGTCAAATACTCTCTCAGTTACTGTCAAATCTGGCGACAATAACATTTCTGTCGCTGAGAACAAATTTGCATTAGTATTGAGTATAAACTAAACAGAATTACCAGATTCTCTTTTAGAGTTGCCTTTGTAAAAAACACCTGTGGGAAAATGAAGTATTAATTCCAAAGTTAAAAAAAAATAAAGTGTGTCCGAAATTATATTTGTGCTTTGTGAAAAAAAGGAATTGATAAAAGTAGGTACAATTTTTTTTTTTCAATATCGACCAAAATTAAACATTGTTGACCAATTTGTACATTTTCAGCAAAGTGTATGGTAACTTCCTTTTATGATCGCTTAATAACAACCGCACACTAAGTAGATTTATGCAGATGTCCTGCGTTTCCAAAGTGACTTTTCTTCACGTGCTGCGAGTGGTGGTATGAGGAGTAAGTGTATACTGCCAATATTTGCGACAACTAAAAAGTGGGAGGAAATTATTTAACTTCTCTTCGACACTCCACCTAATCTATGAAGGCGATGGTGTTGATGCTTATGTGGAGGCCACTACAATTGAGGCAGTGGGGTGAACAATTTAGAGGATTGCAGGCACGAAATTTGCAAACCGAACAATCTGAAACGTATAAAGAATTGTTTAAGTTGTAACTCGCATAAAAATTTACTTAAAAATTAAATATAAATAAATACTGATATAGAACTTTTTGTACACTAGATCTTTTTTATTCAGAAGCATAAACGAAAAAATATTTGGAATAGAAGAGAAAATGTAATATAACTGTGAAAAAGACATTATTTATGTGAATTAATCACTAACAAGATATTATAACAGAACTGTTAATATTCATGTTAATGGAAAATCTGTACAAGAGAATGTATAATAATAAAAAACCTAAAATTTTGAACACTGAATTTAACTTAACTACTTTTTGCGATTCATATTCTGCATAATTTTCTATTATGTGCTTGTTATTAATTGCCGTATGTGCTTTGTTAATACAAAACAAATAAACGTCAATTTTTTACGTTTCGCTCGTCTATTTAAGGATTGCAATGGAAAATTTGAGGGAAAGAATTGGAAAACTGTCGGCGATGGCACCTGATTAGCATCTTGGCCATAATCAATTGTCTTCTAAAAAGACCAGGCAATAATTACGGCAATGATTGCCTGCGTGTATGATTACCCCCTCTGGTTTTAAACAATTTTAGCATTCTATATGTTTTTATTTCCTCTGAAAGAGATGGACATTAAAATTTTTCCCCTTCTTCTACCATAAAATTAAAATAAATATGCTGCTATTTATCATATTGTAGCGAGACGGAAAATGCATGCTCTTTTTAAAAATTGCTGTGGTTCGTTCCGTTTCAGGGATAAATAGAAACATTTTTTTGTTAAAATGAGTCTTACGTTAACATAACTGAACGTACTACATACTTGCTGCCCGTATTTACTTTTCAAATTAAGGTAATATTTTTGATTTATTCCTTTGATAAAAGTTCATAAGAATGACGAAAAAATAAAAGAAAAATTTAAGAAAAGTATTCTCGATCCATAGAAACACTAGAAATTTATTTGCAGAATGTTTTCTTCATATTTGTAAGTTTTTGCAGATGTTTTAATTAACGAAAATTGAAGTATACGACGCATTATCTTGTCATCTTTAACTGTAATTGTATTGCCGGTGATAAGAAGAAAGCAGTTGCCATGATACGATACGTTGCGTTTTTGAATAATGACACTTTAATTATACCTTAGTATTTATTTTCTTGGGAAAAAAATTTATATTAGAGCAATATTTATAAACTTTAAAAAGATCATAGAAATAATGTTGTGGCAATGACCCTGGTGGAAGCGTTTAAGCGTAATTGGCTTATAGCTACATTTGGCATAATATTACTATTAGTTGGTGCTTGTGTTTTATTTTGGAATGAGGTTGGTCTAATATTTGTGGACAAAAGCGTCTTATTTTGCCTTGCTTTTATATTAATAGGGACGCGCGGTACACACAATTATGTCTCTTGACGAAGCTTTAGATATTGCGGTTACTTTGGAAGCTAATACAGATGATATCGAGCCCACCTACAATGGACGCATTGTTCATATAATCGGGCCTCTCATTATTGGAGAGCCATTAACCGAACCTGATTATAATATACAAGTATTAGCTGTGAAATTGAAAAGGCGTGTACAAATGTATCAGTGGGTGGAAGAGACTGTGTATGTTTTGATATAAATGTTAGCTAACGATGTATACAAAAGCATTTTATCAATATTGTCTCCTATGATGTAGAGAACACAATTTTGGTGAAAGTGTTGCGTCTGTTCATACAGAAGATCGAAGTTATTATTACATACGCGAATGGCGGGATCATTTAATTGATTCGCGTAACTTTTACATACAAACTGGTCATCAAAACCCCAGACAATTTCCTATAGAGTCTAAGGTACAAATTGCTGATGCAGTCTACGTGGGACGCTACGAATTGGGTAACGAAATTAAGGACAAGTTTAAAAGCTTTGTCGAGCTAACATCGGACACGAGGCCAGAAGATCCTTTTATCAAATTGCATCTTGGTCTCTACTATCACACAAATGATATATTTAATCCAGAAATTGGTGATATACGTATACTGTTTACCTTCGCGGGCTTAGAAGGAGAAATGGTGAGATATAATTTATGTATTAGAAATTCCGAGTTAATTGTGTTTTTCTTTTAGTACACTATTGTCGGGAAATTGGATAAAAACAAAATTGTACCGTATGAAACTAGTCGCGGTATAGAAGTGCTATTAGTATATCCAGGTGAGCACTCACTCACACAGGTCTTTAAAATGGAGCATCACGCTCAACGGTTAACAGCCTGGGCTTTTCGGTTCGTTGGTTGGATTTTAGTTTTCTTTGGTGTTACTTGCACGTCAAAGTTGTTTCACAAGTTGTGTAAGTTTAAAATTTGCAAAAAAATAAGAAAAAAGTTATTTCATTTTTTTTTTATAGTGACTCAAATACAATTCCTTTCGGCTTTAGCACCCGATCCTCAGTATCCTGTCGGTACGAACGTAATATTGTCTTTGTCACTCACTTTAATTATAGCCTCGATAGCATGGATTTTACATCGTCCGATGGTTGCAGCAGGCCTAATTTGTGCGGCTGCTTCACCATTTGTGTGGTTCGCGCGGGGCGTCAGCATTTATCAAAGAGTTGATTAATTTTTTGATATTGTCTTTTTGTGAATAATGAACAAAACTGGAAATTTTGAGTATTCATGTCATTTAGTTGGTAAATATGTTATGTTATGTTTTTAATATATTTTGTAAAAATTCATGTAAATTTTATTTTATAAAATTTTAGTTAATTATTTGTACTCATCAACACTAAGAATGGTTCACATAGTGTTTTCATTTTCTACGCAATTTATAAATAATTTGGACTAACTCTGTCATATGTGGAATCTTCAAACAAAAAAAATTCGTGGACTTGTTCACACTGTAACAGATCTAATTTTGTTAATAAAATTTGCAAAATCATCTTTTTCTTTTTTTCTTACAGTCGCCAAGTCTAAGTCCACACTTTTCAAATGGATGCCTTTTGATCTCTGTCTTGAAAATAACCTCATCACGGGCGTTGGATATCAATAGATTCGGCACAAATTGATGACTATGTTCTGAAAATTGTCAAAATAAAAACAAAACCCAAAATATGGGGAAAAATGGCCGTCGATTATATACACCAATAGATAGAACCAACTCAGACATCAATCAATCATTTTATGAAAAAATGTAATTTTCGTTTTGTGTAATTTCTTTTTTTTTGTTTATTGCTATTGTTGTCAATTGTAGTCATTAAATTTGTTTTCAGTGTCATTTTTTTGTTGCAATTCCATTTCAACTTTTTGTGATGTCTGCGTTGATTGCGCCGGAGTTGTTGCATTGTCTGCACAGTTTGACAAATTTCTGCTAGTGTTGTTTGCTATTTGATTCGAAGGACTTTGGGATTTTTCATTTTCTGTAGCCTCGTCTGACGTGTTGTCCTCGAAGCGTACATATGGCTCGAAAGCATTTAATTGCATTGAGCCGCGATGCAATGTTCCGGACTCCGCTTCGAATAAGACGTCGCTGATAAATTTTTCTGCCAATAAACGTTGATCGCGGGGCAAACGTTTTAGTTTAAAAGTCCAGGTGCGCGCTAATGACTCCTCCTCTGGATAACTAGAAGATAGATAATCACAGGCCATCGCTAAGGTTTCGTTGGAAGGGGGACGAGATGGATTGTTGCCGTGGCCATTCGCAGGAGAATTCGCGCGCAAGCGTTTTACAGTTGTGTGGGGAACAGAATTTACATTCTGTGAGTTGTGCTGTTGTGATTGTTGCTGCTGCGGCTGCTGTTGTTGCTGCTGCTGCTGCTGCTGCTGATAAAGCTGAGAAGCTGTTACGGAATTGCCATGATTATTTGTTACTTGTTGGCCACCTGGTAGCGTACCCAATGGCGGTGTGCTAGCTGCCTGATGTTCTACCTTTTGTTGCGTATTGAGTGCTGGCGCTTGTCCAAACGATTTGTGAAACATTTCGCTTATATTAGGTGGTGGGGTGCAGGCTATACTACGAAATCCATAAAGTGAAGCTTCCAGAAACTGATTAGGCGAGTGTTCATTAAAGAGAAATGAATTTTCGCTTTTAATTTGAGGATTTACGGCTAAGAATTTCTCGGCATTCCGTAAAAAGTCTAATTCATAAAATGTCCAACAACGTGGCTGATAAACGTTCCCCTCCCGGCGAGCAGACTCGACTACTTTCAGTTCTTTGCGATAATTTGTACGCAATGTGTTGATTTTTTTCTTAACATCCTCAAGATTAGCATCACGTTTAAGGTAACGATAAATGGGCACCAACTGTTGATACGCTTCGGCACGTTTATCTCGGTTAGTATAGTCCCTCAATGAAGTATCCCATAATACTGGCAAATTACGATATGTCTGTATGAAGGCACGTAAATATTGACGATTCTCTTCAGCTCCATTAATTGATTTAGTAAGCGAGTGATGTTGATGTTGCTGATACTTTGGATCCATCATTTCATTTTAATTTCAAAAAATAACGGTTTTCCTTGAAATATAATACTTAACGTAAACTCTTGTCTATTTATTAACAGAGCATTAATCGTAAAATTTGTTTTATAAATTTTTTTAACTATAAGTAAATTTACTGCCTTTTAATCACACATTCAAGAGCTTAAGTGTATTGTTGACTGTGGCTATTGAAGAACTGTCAGTGGCGTAATTGATAAATTGCCACATTGATGGTCTTCATTTTGTAAATACCTCAAACTAAAACAGCGACATCTAATGTTAAATGTTAAGCATAATAAGGAAAAAAAAAAAAAAAAACAAAATGAAAACCTAAAAGGTCCTCAGGTGTTAAAATTTTAATATGTATATATATATATACATTGATATATAAAGTTTTATTAAATTTTTTTTTTTTTACTCCCTAAAACCGCCCTGTCTCAACTGTTATTCTCGTGTAGTGTCTTCCTACTATATTAACTGTTAGGAGCATTCAAGTGTTGACTTGGTTAAGATATTAATAATGCTTGGAATAAAAATTTTGTAGTTGTTTTAATTTACACGATAGATCGACTACGCAGCAATAACTCTTGTTCAATTCTTCTTTAATAATAGTAAATGTTTATTATGTAATTTAATCCGTTCAACTAATAGTTTGAGAAATTAAAATAAATCGTTAAACAAATCGCGTTCGACAAGAACAACTTCAGAAAAAAAAAAAAAGATCTAAACAGGCCTTACTTTCAAAGTTTCAAAGTTTCTGGAAATGTAAGGAAATATGACATTTAAAGCACAGTAAGAAAGAGAAAGCAAAGAAAGGTTTTATATTGGTATTTCGTGTTTGTGTAAATCAAATGCTAATGCTAAAAAAAAAGTATTTGGAGTTTTCGTTTTATTGAAACACGGCAACTTGGCCCGGACTGTCACTGACAAATCTATTCAACTTTCTGCGTTGCAAAATTTTGGTCTTTTTTATATGCCCTATAAAGCTATACACTTTTCAAACAACTGTTTACGTTTTCTCATAGTAATGGCATATGGCTTGCCAAACATATGATTTAACTGTTTAACAATAAACATTTTTTTATAATTGCATTCGCTTTTGCTTTGACTTGATTTTTTTTTTTTTTTTTTTTGACTTTTGCAAGTTAAGTTTTCAATTTACCAATAGTTTCCGGCTTAAGGACAAATTAAAACTTCGGTGTTTATTAATGGGTAGAGTGTACAATTTATGAAAGCGTTTGGAATAATGAAGCACCGGAGTTAATTCATATTTAATGCAAACAAACTTTGACATACATGATGATGGCGTAGCTCGAGGTATGTTTAAAGAGGACTCATGGCAATGATAGCCTGATAGGACGTAAGTCAGCTTGTTTGCACGTAATGCATAATAAAACCATTTTTTGATTTTTGTTCCAATCAACCAAGATCTCGCTATCGAGGGCTACGAATAATTCTATGAAATGAAGAAGATCGACATTTTCTAGTAGAACAGTACAGCTTGTGGCATCGCCGCTTAAAAAGTCGTAATCATCGTTTTGTAAAATGATTCTTGTGTTTGGAAGCATCTTAAAAACATCTTAATCGACAAAGTTTTTTATATACATATTTATATATATACATATATATTATTATTGTTTTGATGTACTTTAGAGGTAGCGAACATGCAACAAATAAAAATTATTAAGACATTGGATTAAATATAGTTTAATAACGAAACATAAAGGCATAATGAAATGGAAGAAGTATACCAAAACTAACCTCCAACCTTACTAAGGCGCAAACAAAGAATTTTGTGTGTACGCTGGGTTATTTCCTTTTTTTACAACGTAGCGTACCCGTCTATTGTTTGCTGTCTATTGTTGACTAGCTGAGAATTTAAAAAGAAAATGAATAAATATTTAATTGAATATTTTGTATTAATAATTGTAATAAAGTTTTTTTGAGAACGATTTAAGTAAAAATAGTAAACACGAAATTAAGCAATAATTGTTGACCAAAGAGGGAAATATTTTTACTTGAGTAAAATCTTAGTCAAAGTTTATTGTTTTTAATCTGGTGTATATGCTTTATAATTTGAGCAATAGTTTATATTCAAATTCGCTTGCTCTCAACCTATTGCCGCGAATTGGAAGTTAGTGCGAGGTCTTGCTTTCATCTTGCTTTCATTCGTATAGTCAAGGGAATTTTAATTTTAGATACACAAGGATTGTTGATGTAAATATCATTAAATTTACGTTTTTTGTTCTCGTAGGCACTTAGCACTGGAACAAGTTGCATGACGACATAATATCGCTTGAATCGAGCAATCGATGGTTTTTACTTAACTGGTAATTATGAGAAATGTATTTTGGGTTTTAGAAATTTTGCAGAAAAATTGTTTAAGAATAGAAAGAAATGTAAGATTATAAAATACGCCTAAAACTATGCAACAATTACTAAATGTAGACAGTTTGCTGGAGATGGAAATTGCCTTCATGATCCTCTTAAAAAAGTTATTTGAACGTCAACAACACGTGGTGTTCCGAATCGATCGTCCATTCGACGTCCATACCGATCGATGATTGGACGATAATCGATATATTCAAGGCGGTACGGTCGTTGGTACAGATGACAATTTTCGTTTTTAGATTGCAAAAGAAGAGGAAAAGTTGTTTCCTTTAATAATTATCCAAAATTTTTTTAAATGCACATATAAGCTATCCTTTTTGGCTTAGTCCAGTTAATCTAAGCAAAGAAAAAAAAATATTTTTATATATAAAATTTTCTTCTTTTCTCATTACTTATACGGGCGGATACTGAAAAATGTATTTAGCAAAAAAATATAGATATGTATTACAATCCTTAAGATTTTTCTTAAATTTGATCTTTATTGTTGTAAAGCTTGTGGTACTTTTATAAAGAAAAATTGAGATTATTTTTATACAATTCGAATTAAGATTGTTTGTATGGTTTTGATTGGATCAAAATCGATGCTTAATGGGCAGTTCAAGGTTAATAAAAAGCTGTTAAATGCATGTAATATCGGTCCATCGTTCCAATACGAGGTGTTTTAAACGGTCGAAATAGCGTTGACGATCTCACAAACCAGTTTAGCGGAACAAGATTGTAATGCAGTTTTTATTTATAATGCTCGCGCTCGACTTAAGTCCGTAAAATCTGTCCCGGTGTTGAAGATTGAAGATTGATGAGATATTTCCGTTTTACAAAATCGACATTCATGTTCGATTTAAGCGACAGTTTCCAACTACGGCAAGTTGCATCAATATTTGGCATGTCTGTCCATGTCCATCAATTCTAAGACTTGGTCTACTTTTGTTTCCAGCAAAAAATTGCAATTATAAGTGTGTGTGTGTTTTTTTTTTTATAAATTAATGAAAAATTTCTTAAGGAAATAAAAATGAACTTCTTTTGCAGCCAACATAAGCCCGGTAGAAATTTTCTATTTCATTCTTTATATACAAATTTACATTTATATAGTTGTGTGTATATTATGTTTATCTTCCAGATATGAAATACGCGAAAGCAAATTTTGATATTTCGAACTGGAACTGGCCGTGACTTATTCTGAAGAAACCCTTGCGGACCTGAACATGATCTCTACTACTCTTGAAATTAATGGCGCCGGTTTTCGTCCCATAAAAAGGATATAGAGGGTATTCTTTTTTCCAGTTCGTAGCGAGACTGAAAACTGAAGAATTCCGAATATCCAAGTTGAGCGTAAACGCAGATCATTTAATTCATATTGCGATCTCGTACAGTATGTGATGTGCATCTCGATTTTCTGATGAGGAAGTTTGAGGAAGTGATTTAACAAATATTATTTATGAACTCGTCTAGAATGGCATATAATAGATTTTAATATCATTGACTATATTAGTAAGGACTGTTATATTTTTTAATATTTTATATTTTTATAATTAAAAGTAAAATCACTTCGCTCCATTTAAAATATATTAACCTTTTACGAACTCTTTCTCCATTCATTTTGTTCGCCTTAAACTAATCTCTGCTAAGCGTCTCATCAATATATTTTGAGTTAATATTTGAGATTTAATTAAAAATCGAAATTGATTGGATTCGAGACACGGAAGTCTGTCTGTTGCTTTCTTTATAAATAGCGATTAAAAAGCAAATTCTCACACATGTTCCACGATTATCGTATGCGGTACAAATTTGACATTATCATCGATCTGTTAAATAGAAAATTAATTGTAATATATATCGTTCATGACGTATGTAGACAATTGTACTCATTGCAAAATACGATTTGTTTGTTTGCGCGAGGAGGGAAGTCTGTAGTTTTGTATCAGAAGTACTTGGTAATCACAGCAAATCAAATCACACACACACACACACGATGAAATAAAGTGTTACACGCCTATCAGTGTTAAACGATTGCATATAATATGCAATCGTCATAATATCGAGGCAGGTAGTCAAAGCCTGCCACTGCTTTTACTCCACATTCTTCTATCGCAGTGACTGTGCAGTAAATTGGTGCATGCATTTTCCAATTGTCCGTCCGCTTAAGCATGTATGGTATATAGGTGTAGGTGTGTAGGAGTGTGGGTGCGCTTATGCGTGCGTGTATATGTTGATGCGCGTATCCGTATTGCCACCAACAATACCCAAACTAACCGAGTATTACGTTCTCTTTTCTTTTTTCATTGGACTGGGTCTGCGTTCATTCGATGGCATTATTGGGGAGAGAGAGAGAGAGAGAGAGAGAGAGAGAGAGAGGTTAAGCCTCACTTTAGCTGCTGTCTAACACGAACAGTTAAATGTAATGATTGTGTTTCTCAACAGATCTATGAAAATTTTATATTTTGATGGGCCGAACATTAGCACGAACACTTGGTGTGCCAACAACTACAATAACACATTGCGAACATTTACACCTTCACTTCAAGTTACAACAAGTAACGTAAATATACAAACAAACATTTTTTAGTAGAGGGTTTTCCATTACACACCGTCCTTATTGTTGTTTTTGTTGCTATGCATTATGGTCACAAATAAAAGAAACAAACTAAATAAAAAAATAAATGTTGCATGTAGCGTTGAGGTGAAATTTCAGTCTCTCAGCCCCGTATGCGCCAACACGATCTCCTTCTCCAATATCAAAAAGAAATAAGTAAAAAAAAGCTAAAGTGATTGAATCACGGTCGAGTCGACAAAAAGCTAAATCGTGATGCCAATGGAACAAAAAGCGTTCGTTTAAACGAATGAACGAACGAAAGGGGCTTTTCCCAACAATACGGCGATCATGTATCCATTGACGACGACAACGACGACGACTGGGTAAGCGGTAAACGAGAGAGCGTACGAGGCAATGAAGCAAAAAATTTTGCAAACAGCGCTTATGTTGCGACTTTTGTTGTTGTTATTATTATTATTATTATTATTATTATTATCGTTATTATTGTACCATTCTATATAACACAATTGTTTAGTGCTGTGTATGCATTTGATATGCTTTTTTTGTTATTATTGTTTTTCATCGTGTTTTTAGCAATAAACCGCTCTAGTGATCGCTCTACTTAACGCGTAAAGCATAGCATAAGCATAACATTTTCAAAACAAACGAGAAAGTCAATGTACGCAGAGATTGGAACAGTTGTCTAATGTATGTGTGCGCATGCATATACGAATATTCAAAGGCTTGAATGGATGGATTGTGTAGATGGTTGAATGATGAAAGCATAAAAAATGAAACACGTGCACCTCTATTTCTCTCCTATTTAACTCGTTACAGAGTGTATGTCTGTTCGATTCTTAAACAACAGTTTGGTGTCTATGGCATACGCTTGTGTCTGTGTGTATTATTTTTAAACGAAAGTCAACCGTTAGTTGGGAAAAGAAAGACATCGGGCTATGATTTGAAATATGTACTGATTGGAAGACTGCCGCTGCGCTATTAAATTGCGGTAGCGTGCAAACGATGACGATGACGATGACGACGATGACGATGACGACGATGACGACGAACAAAACGAAGAACAAATAGAATAGCAAAAAAAAAAAATAAAAAAATAAAAATAAAAAATAAAAACAAGAGGTGACTCAACATTAACCTTTAACTGTTCGATTACGATTAGATAGTGACGATGAACATTAATGTAGCTTTTCATGCATGTGCATAGTTACATATATATGCTCATCTATACATACATTAGAAATACACGTCTATCGATTCATTTACATATATATTATATACACTCGATTCTAATTTTACGCGATAGATATATAACCCGTGCAAAGAACACCTCACTCACAGAATGGTTTTCGTATTTGAAGACGAAAGTCGTACAACATTTATGTATACGCAAATCCTTGCACACACACATATGTATATATTATGCATATGTATATGTAATATTGCTGCAAGGAAAACATTGGACAATTTATGCGATTCTGAAGCGATTCATTTGAAACAATGACAGAAACTTTTTCCTTAGCCGTTCGCAAGCAGAAGATTGCTTTTGATATAAGCAAATCGAATTCAATCCTGTAAGAGGTCTAATTAGTTAACTTTTGGTTTGCAAGGGTACCCCATACGTTCGATCCGCTCGTACCGGTATTTCGCTTAGTTCGCGGTCATCCTTTAAAGCCAGAGACCTTGTCTTGTCCT